AGGAACAGATAAAAAAACAACAACAACTAACCAATGGGAGGGAAATAGCTCCCTGAGAGGATAAATAAAAAACTGGGGGATGTTGAGACAGAGAAATGTCAAAACAACCAAGAATTCACATCTCCAAAAAAATGTTCATACTTATGTTCACATAATGAGGCTGTATCTTGCTTTGTACTGGAGCGATTGTCAATGAGCAGGCTTTATGTGGAACTTAGTCTCTGAATCAGGAGCATGGTCTTCACAAAGTTGTTGACGTGACAAATCTTCTAATAGGAGAACTGGCCAAGAATAATTTACTCCTTAGTGCTGGTGCTGCTTTTGCACTGCTGTTTTAAGGATACCACAAATGGCTGCAATGTGATTTGGTGTTGTTGCTAAGAAGGTTCTCCCGTTGTGATGGACCAAAAGGTAGAAAGGAAAGTCCCTTCTGTCATAAATGTCTTCCTCCTCTGGCTGGTCAATATAAGGCTTAAAAAAACTTTTTTGCAGTGTTTTCATGGAGAGATCTTGGTACATTGAGATCTTGGTGTCACCATACTCTATACATGCAAGAGCACGTAACTTTCGCAATACTGTGGGTTTGGAGGAGTGTGTTCTGCCTCTGGCAATAACATCTCTTGCCATTGTTTGCTCTTGCACTTTTAGGACTTGAGAGTTATAGACTATTTCAAAGTCCCTTTCTGACACATGTACATCTGGGCAGATCTTGTTCAGAAAACCAATGAGGAAGATAATTATCTTTTCTTCTTCAGCCTCATCTGGTGTGCCATGAAATCTAATGATTAGTTTCTTGAGATGATTTTCAAGGTTTTCAATTTCTTTTTGAAAATCCACCATGATGCTTTGCAATTCATTTGTTTCTTTTCCATCCAGTAGTCCCATTTTGAGGGCTTCATCTCTTGTGTCTTCTACCATGGACATTTCATTAGTTAGGGATGTTAACTGTATTTTTATGGGTTCTAGTGCTGCAGCTAAATCTGCTTTAAACTTTGATCGCTGGTGTTGGAATAATTCTTGTAGTATGTCTGGTATCTGCTGTTCAGGTGGTTCCTTGGTGGGCTCTTCTTCCTCCTTTGGAGATGGTGCTGAAGTCACAATTTTGGGCAAGAAATATGTAGTTAAATCCCCAGAATCATAGAATCCTAGAGTTGGAAGAGACTGCAAGGGACATCTAGATCACCCCTATTCTGCCATAAAGAAAGGCACCATCCAAGCCCTCCCTGTGACAGATGGCCATCCAGCCTGTTTAAAGACCTCTAAAGAAAGAGACTCCACCACACTCTGAGGCAGCAGCATATTCCACTGTTAGACAGCAATTTCCACTAGGAATTTCTTCCTAGTGTTTAGGTGGAATCTCTTTCCCTGGAGTTTGAATCCATTGCTCTATATCCCAGTCTCTAGAGCAGCAGAAAACAAGCTTGTTCCTTCTTCCATATGACATCCCACAGGCTCCAGCTCTCCATTCTGTCTACTGAAGACAGCTGTGCAGAATGTTCAGAGCATGAAGGTGCCAATGTCTGCAGGTTTCAGTTTTAATGTTCTGTTTGTGAGATCATGGCTTCTTCTCCTTAGGTAAGGTAAGGATGGGATAGCTAGCAACCAAGTACAATGGCTGCTTAGTTCTACTGTCAGCGTCCTCCCTGGCCGCCTCTTCCTTCCTTTTCTTTTCTCATTTTACAAAATACACTGGAGATTTATTGCCATGAAAAGGACACAACTTGCCCCTGTTTTGAGAATGTGCCCCATGTATATGGACAGGTTCAAAACAAGGGAGTGGATTGTGTCTCTCTGCATGGCAGAATAGGGTTGGACTGCGTGACCCCTGGGGGTCTTTTACAATTCTATGATTTTATGGCACGAGATGCCAGTGGGGCCCTTGTGTGTGCCCCTGCCCTCTTTCTTTCCTAGGGGAGACCAGGGGCAAACCAGGCAACTCTTTGCCCCTCGCAGTCCATTAGCCTTCCTGACAGCCTAGTCTCAGGCAAGAAGCCCTACAGAGTTTAACTGCACTTCTCCCAAGTAAGCCTGGGTTGGATCACAATCCCAACTCTGAACCACCTCAATTATGCCATTCCCAACCTTGTTTTCTGTCATGTGTTGCTAAGACCTCTACAGTTACTACATATGTCATTCAGAGGGGTCTTTTCTTATGCTACAGTGAATGATTGCTGTTGCCATTATTTGTTGCTCTGCTGCTGTTCTTGTTAATCTGCCTTTCCCCCAAGACTGGGACTCAAAGCTCTTTACAAGTTAAAAGAAATACAACATAGTTAGCATGTACAAGAAGTCAACATGAAAATAGAGTTACACTAGCAAGAATGTTAAAAACAAAATAAAATAGAAAATTACAAATAAATGCTTGTGACAACAGCTGTTCTGTCATTGTTATGATAAACTGTTTTTTGCATTCTTCACTACAGTTCATAGAATCATAGACTCCTAGAGTGGGAAGGGGCCCAAGAGGCCATCCAGTCTAACTCCCTGCTCAGTGCAGGATTTCCAGCTACAGCATCCCCAGCAGGGACCTGTCCAGCTTCTTTGGGAAGATGTCCAGCAACGGAGATGTCCATCACCCAGACAATTGCCTCAATTTCCAAACGTCTCTTCCTGTTTAGATGTCCCTTCTAACGTTCAATCAAAATCTACTCTCCTGTAACTTCATACCATTAGACTTGGTCCTCCTTCTGGAACAGCAGAGAAGTGGCAGCCCTCAAAGTATTTAAAGAAGGCAATCATGTCACCCCTCAGTCTTCTTTCACCAGGCTGAACATGCCTAGCTCCATCTCTTATCATCTCTATTGCCTTTCTCTGAGCCTACTCCAACCTATCTATATCCTTCTTAAAATGAGGAGCCCAGAACTAATGGCAATACTCCAGATTAGGTCTGACTACTGCAGAATATAGTGGGATTATTACCTCCCTTTATTGGTAACTATGGTTCTGTTAACACAAGATAAAATATTATTTGCCTTCTTTGCTGCAGCATCATACTGCTGGCTCACTTTCAACTTATAATCAACAATAAATTCTTCAAAATAAAGAGTTCTTTCAGGACAGGTGTGGAGGATGGAGATACTGGGAAGGGCTTGAGTCTGACACTGATAGGTATGTAGAATGAAATGACAGTTCTTAAGAAAAGGTCCTCTGAGGCTGTAGATGGGACCCTTACCTATGCAGTTTCCCTCAGTCATGGAGAAATCGTCCACAGCCACGTCACTGTGAAAATCTTCCCCTCGCACGCCTTCCACAATTATCTAGAGGAAAAGATAACCTCTGGAATGAGTTCAGTGGTACACCAGACTTCATACTAGAGAACATTCCTGAGGGGGTTTCCCAGATTTCAGGGCCTGGACCCTCTTCTCCAATCCTTAGAAGAATCTTAGGGCAAGAGCACTACTTCCAAAAACAAATGTGTGAGTGTATCCTCATTTGTTAAATTTGGTGTTTAATACCAAGTTCTGGACAATTAGGTATCTTGCTTAATAATATTATCTGTGCTCCAATTGGGAGGAAAATGGAGGAGTGACTCAGGGGAGCTAGTGATCTAGTGAGAGAGAAGGCAATGCTCTTTTGCCTTTAATAGTGGCTCTAGGGCTCTTGGATCCACTAGCACCTAAATCCTAAAATTCCTTCTCTCCCATTAAATTTCAGATGAAATAACTCTTTTTCCAGCTGAAAACAGACACCAGGATTCTGCTCTGGCCTGTGAATGCTGTTTAATGGTTGTGCAGAAAGGGAATTTCAGCAGGTGTAGCACATATAATTGATCAATCGATCGATCGATTGATATTTCTGTCCTGCCTTTCTTCCAACATGGGACCAAAGGCAGCTTACAACGCAGCTTAAAACCAAGTACAGGTTGATTATCCCTTACTATCTGAATTGCTTGGGACCAGAAGTGTTTGGGGTTTTGGAGGTTTTTTGGATTTTGTTTTCTAGTTTTCAGATCATAAACAATGTAAGATACCTTGGGATTAATATAACTACAAGGAATTCAGATTTATTTAAAAATAATTATGAGATAAAATGGAAAGAAACAAAGAAAGACTTAAAGAAGTGGGGAAAATTAGGATTATCATGGATGGGGAAAATTTCGGCAGTTAAAATGTCAATCTTCGGCAGTTAAAATGTCAAAAATGATCTTCCTATTTCAAAATTTACCAATCATCACAAATGACTATCCTTTAAGGATTGGCACAAAGACATATCAAAAATTTTATGGGCTGGAAGAAAACCAAGGGTGAAACTTAAATTAATACAAGATGAGATTAAAAGAGGAGGCATGGCACTTCCTAACCTCAAAATTTATTACTACACAAGCACGATGGACTGGATTACGGATTGGATAAAATTGGAAAATAATAGGTTATTACAATTGGAAGACGTGGATAATAGATTTGGATGGCACGCATATTTATTCTATGAAAAATTAAAAGTCAATAAAAATTTCAATGACCATTACATTAGTAAGTCTCTAATTTGAATTTGGTTAACATTAAAACTTCAAATTTGTAGAGGACTGCCAAAGTGGGTTTCAGTAAATGTAGCTTTCTTTAACAGAACAAAACTGGATGACTCAAAATGGGTCACAAATGAAGATCTGTTAATAGATAAAAAGATGAAACTGAAATCCCTAGAACAATTAAGGAATGAAGGCCATAAATGTGGTTTACCTATCATCAGTTAAATGAAATATTTAATCTTGATTTGAAATCAAACAATATCCAAGAGGCAGACCCTGATTTTGAAAAAAATTGTGAAATCAGAAGATAACCATAGAATTAAGAAATATTACAAACTATTTCTGATTCTTGATACTAAGGAAGAAAGGATTAAACCCCAAATGGTAAAATGGGCACAAAATTTTGGCCACCCCATAAGTTTAAACCAGTGGGGAAAAAACTGGATTTTGGAATAGTTCCATGCACATAATCTTGGAGATGGAACCCAAGTCTAAACACGAAAGTAATTTATGTTTTGTATACACCTTATAGACAGCCAGCATGGCATAGTGGTTTGACTTTTGGACTACAACTCTGAAGACCAGGGTTTGATTCCCAGCTTGGCCATGAAGCCCACTGGGATGACCTTGGGCAAGTCACTTACTCTCAGCCTCAGAGGATGGCAAGGGCAAACCCCCTCTGAAGAAACTTGCCAAGAAAGACCCATGATAATTTTGTTTAGGGTCTCCATAAGTTGGAAATGACTTAAAGGCACATAACAACAACAAACACACCTTATACACATAGGCAGAAGGTAATTTTATACACAATATTTTCACTAATTTCTGTGTGAAACAAAATTTGTAATGTACACTGAACCATCGGAAAGCAAAAGTATCACTATATCTAAGCCAACCACATGGACAATTTTGGATATTCCAAAATCCAAAATTGTTCACGTGGGCGGCTAAGGTAGTGCCATCCTTGCTTTCTGATGGTTCAGTGTACACAAACTTGATTTCATGCATCCCATTGAGAATTCATGACATTGTAAACCAATGTATGACTGTGCAGTTTAGAATAGCAACATTGTGTTATGGTTATGTTCCCAGGTAGAGAGCATTGTTGTAGATGTGTCCTTGGGTTCATCGCACACAAGAGTATGGCACCATGCAGGACAGGGTGTTCTTGGGCATCAAAGAGCCCTGGTGGTGCATTGGTTAAATGGCAGTACTGCAGCCACAACGTTGTGAGTTTGATCCCAGAGGGCTCCAGGTTGACTCAGTCTTCCATCATTTTGTAGGTCAGTTAAATGAGTACCCAGATGGTTGGAGGCAATTGGCTTACAGATTGTAAACTCCTTAGAGAGTGCTGAGTCCACTAGGAAGCAGTACAGAAATGTATATGCCATTGGACATCAACAATAAAAGAGGAGGGGGCAATGGCCTACAATGGAGCCACAAACCACTAAACATCTAAAGTAGAAGGCAGTTGGAAGACATGGGCCCCCTTTGCATGGCAAGAAAGACTTCTCCATCTTGTGTGGCGCCATCATCATAATTGTTTTTTTGTGAGTTTTTCAGACTATGTGGCTGTGTTCTAGAAGATTTTATTACTAATCATAGAATCATAGAATCATAGAGTTGAAATGTTTCTCCAGCATCTGGGGCTGGCATCTTCAAAGAATGCTGGCATGGAAGTAAGTGAGGTATATATATATATACTGTGTGACCCTTGGTTGAGAGGAGGTGATTTACATGTTAATCTATGTGTTGTTGAATGGCAAGGACTTAGGGTGGTAGCGGGAGGATATGCAAGGAGGCATTGTGTCTATTTAATGAGTGATCCATTGTCTGCTGGGAAAACCCCTGACCCTGGGTGGTTTTCATTTGCATTTTGTTGTGTCTTGATTTTGGTGTTTTTCAGGACTGGCAGCCAGACTTTGGGCCTTTGCAGACTGCCAGAAATAGTGCAAATTGAGTCCACTTTAAGGATTAGGGTTAGGGAATCATGGGAACTGTATTTTATTGTGGCACCAAAGCTCTCTGATAGAGAAGGCTCAATGTCTCAGGGAAAAAAACACAATTCCCATGATTCCATAGCACTAACCCTAACCCTTAAAGTGGACTCAATTTGCACTATTTCTGGCAGTCTGCAAAGGCCTTTTGTTTACTTTAAGGGTTTTTTCTTTCCTGTTGAAGTTGTCCAGGTGTTTGTGGATTTCAATGGCTTCCCTGTGCATTCTGACCAGATAGTTGTTGTCATGGTTCAAAATTTCAGTGTTTTTGAATTACATCTTATGCCCAGTATGGTTTATAATGTGTTCTGCTGCTGATGATTTTTCTGGCTGACCCAGTCTGCAGTATCTCTCATGCTCCTTGATTTGTGTTTGAACACTGCTTTTGGTGCCCTATGTACACTTGTCAACAGCTGCACAGTATGCGATAAACTCCTATGTCTGTGAGGGGGTGTCTCCTGTCCTTTGCTGAGTACAGCATTTGCTGGATTTTCTTGGTAGGTTTGTATGTCATTTGGAGGTTGTGTTTCCTCACCACTTTCCCTATTCTGTCTGTGACTCCTTTGTTGTATAGTAGAAATACCTTCCCTATGGGTGGTTGCTTGTCTTCAGTCCTCTGGATTTTTCTGGGTCTGGCAGCCCTTCTGAACACAGAACAACACACAGATTAACATGTAAATCACCTTCTCGCAACCAAGGATCACACAGTACATATACACACACCCCACTCACTTCCATGCCAGCATTCTCTGAAGATGTCAGCCACAGATGCTGGTGAAATGTCAGGAATAAAATCTTCTAGAACACGACCACATAGCCCGAAAAGCCCACAAAAAGCCTTCGACTTCACATTGTCATAATTCTCTAACATGGTTGCCTATGGCATCAGTGATGGGACTCTATCATTGTAAAGTTATACATTGCAGCCTGGGTTGCAGGATCTCAGTCACACATTTATAAGAAATTTAGTTTTAAAAAGAATTCAGCAAACTATCCAAATTAAACAGCATTAATTTGAAAAAGGGATAGAAGCATTAACACAAACACACACACAATATGAATAAAATGGACAGGATCATCCCACTTGCCACATTAAAAGACCCTGCTGGTTAAATCACCAAAAAATTTGAATAAATAAAAGGGGTCTTTGTTGGTGGAAGAAGAGCAGGGAGGGGGCCAGCTTAGCTCCTGGGTGAGGGCTCTTCAGTTTGGGAACAGCCACCAAAATGGTCCTGTCTCCCATGAGTATCTTAGAATTCTTGGGTGAGATGCTATACATGCTGGAATTCCCTCTCCTTTACAACTATTAAAGAAAGATTCAGAATCCTTGTCCTTTTGTCCAAAGATCCCATTGCATACTGATTTTCCAGACTAAGGACTTTATCACACTGGGAAAAAAGATGGGAGCATAAGTGGGATGATCCTGTCCATATTGCACAATTTAGCAAAGATTATCACATAGCGTTACAAATATCCCACAATTATCCCATGAATAAAGAGGAATTATAGCACTACTTTTTATTCACGGCATTTTATTCACAGGTTATTTGCGACATCGCATGACATCATGTGATAATCATTGCCAAATCATGCAATATTGACAGGAGCATCCATTTATGCTCCCTTCTTTTTCCCCAGTGTGATAAAGGCCTAACACAGCTAGGTCTTACAATTAATATCTTTTCTGTTTCCCAGCCTGCACCCACCACATTCCAAAACTCCCTCCGCCATTCACATTGTCATCTACCCATCCTGGCTCAGGCAACATCTTCCCTCCTTCCTTTGTCTCTCAAGGACCATCATTGAAGCTGAACTTGTCAGCCCATCACCAACCCCACAAGTTTTGCATTTTTGTGACTAGTCATACAGTCTGATTATATAGGTCCTTCCTGGACAACAGTTCACTCCATGCATCTGAGAAAACAGAACAAGTTTACAAAAGTTTATGCTACGTCGTTCACTCAGTCTCCGAGGTGCTACAAGATCCCTTTGCATTCTGTTTCTAAATGTTCAGCTGAGGCTTTAAATTATGGTAATGCTAGAAATTTGAAAAATTGAAGAAAATTTTCATTTTGTCCACCCCTGTAGCTCCCCCCCCAGTCACACTTCAGACCTTTTCTACAGTCATGTTTTTTTTCCAACTTTACTCAGATCCTGGGAATTGTCTCACTCAGGAGAACATGAGCAGGCTTAAGGCAGAGATCTTTCTCCAGATGCTGTTGGACTGCAACTCCCAGCAGCCCCAGCCAGCACAGTCAATGGTGAATAATGCTGGGAGCTGCAGTCCATGAGTACCAGGAGGATCACAGCAGGATTCTCACCCTGTGAAAGGTCCAGCCCTAGTGTTGCCACTATCACTATGCTGACATGAACAATCTCCAGACCTGTTCCCAGTTACCTTCAACCTCCCCGTGTTGGGGATGGTGACGTTGGCTTGAAGCCACTTGTTCTGCTTCCGACCGGTGGCAACCCAGAGACGGGTGGCTTCTTCACCCTCTGGGTGGACGTAAACCCTCAGTGACATTAAACTGGCTGAACCAAACATGTGGTACCAGAAGCTGAAACAGAATGGGCCAGAGGAGGTGCAAGTGGGGCTGACCAGGTGGGCCACATTCCCTTCAATGACATTGTTCCCCTCGATGTAGAGGTATTGGCCCCCTAAAAGGAAGAAAATCAAGAGGAAGAAGAGGAGAAAGGGGAGGAGGACAAAATAAACGCATCCATTACTACTATTGTTATTGCTGTTAATGTTATTGTTGTCATCTTCAATAACAACCTACAGAGGTTTTGCACCATCAGTGATTCAAAATCTGTCCAAGAATTTAGGGGTCTTTTCACCCTACACAGTTATAACACTATGATTCCACTTTAACCATGACGGTTCTGTCCTATGGAATCCTGGGATCAATAGTTGAAGGAGGGTCATTAAAACTCTCAGCCAGACTTGTGACTACATGTCTCAGGATTCCAAGTTATTCAGCCATGACAGTTAAAGTGGGGCAGTGGTGTCACTGCAGTTAGTATCACCTGGTGCAGGTGCCTGGAAAGGGCTGTGGTGGGGGAAGATTGCCCTGCCCTCCCTACCTCCCACTCCATTGAAAGTTTGCCCGCCAGCCACCTGGCTGCCACCTAGCCAGGCCACTACTGAGGGGGGCAGTGGTTGAGTAGCCATGCTGGATTCTGAGCAAAAGACACTGCTGCTGTGGGGCAGTACTAGAGTTTCCAGACAGCCTGTTCTGGATATGGTGTGGCTTCTGGCTTACTGAGAAAGGAAGGCAATGTCCTTACTCACTCACCCAGAAGCTGCACCAGTCCCTCTGGGTGTACCACCCCACTGGGGTTTCAACTAGTGCAACCAAAAACCCCGCACCCCTAGTGACACCTCTAGGACCACGGCGTGGTGTGACAAGGACTCTTTATTTCCCAGGTACTGGCTGAAGATTGCTACTTGCCCCAAATGCTGCCTGAGCATGCTGCACTCTCCCCTGGCTACAGAATGGCTATGTGGGAATGATCCACCCTGCAGAGATGCCTTCCACATGGGCAGAAGAGGCATCTCTGTGTGGGTGGAGCCTTACTCTCCACCTTTGTGGATCCAGAATCTTGGCC